AATGTTCCCGACGGGTATTTGGACCTGTTCAACAATGAAGCCTTCGTGGTCTAGTGGTTATGACGCTCGCCTTGTCTGCGAGAGGTTGCAGGTTCGAATCCCGTTGGAGGCATATATATATATATATATATATTATATATATATATATATATTATACTGACAAACTGTCAAGAGCGTAACGAAAAATGTAGATATACTTATGCCATTAGTATAAACTTATGCTAGGTAAGTATCAAATACACAAAGAACATCGTACACACCTCTGACAACCACACTGAACTGACAGGTAGTCGTGAGATTGCCACAGTCACTTGATGAGTACTCCACCACACTAGTACCAATTTCAAAGGAATATCCATTGATATAGTTTGCATCCGCAACAGCATTTTCACAACAGTCAGTAACATTGGCTGGCTCCCAAGTAACGTTGGCGGTATCATGACCGACATCATTACACACATTCACATCACCAGGACATACTAATACTAAGCATTGAATAAAACAAACAAATAAAATTATGTAGGCCTATAACATAATATGTAAGGCAAGTACATATACTAGTTTTATATTAAAGTATTGAAGGATAAAATCTACGAATATAATATATTTAGTATTTAAGGCATATAATTTGGCTGTACAAAGTATTTTAGGAAAAAAATAATAGAGACTTTGTTAAGCTGTAACATCATATAAACTAGAACGATGAGAAAATATAAATATATGAAATGGAGCAGAAGAATTATCCGGAAACCTCTGGAATAATAATTATCATCGAGGACCATTTTCTACTCGAAAATGGCACCTCATGCTCAAATAATGACATACATAACTCGTCAGCGACCGACAAAAGTGTCACTGGTGACTACCTTATGTTACCACCACTAAGTGCTATGCGTATGCACAGACCACAGAACGTCTCAGGTCTGTTTTACCGGTCACCTCGGGGAGGGAATTACACAAAGCCGTGGCCTTGGGGGAAAACCTCTTTTCAAATTGTTTGGTTCTGTACATCGACCTCATCAAAGTTAGATAGTGAGAAGCTTTTGAGCCCCTTAGTTGCACCATAGAGAAAATTTTCTATATGGTTGCACGACCAAATGATTTTGATAATGGAACAAGACCTGATAACCTTAAAAAAGAAATCCACTAAACAAACAATTTACCCTCCATATCGCGACCACTTTCGGACCTGAAAATTTTAGAGTGTTTGATTTCCACTTAAGGGGTTTAGCTTTGTGTTAATGTTGCTAATAGATTGATGATAGTTATTTTGTTCTTTGAAAAGGTGGTCTCGAATTTCAGTGGTCTCGCAACTAGAAAATTCTCCAATTAGAGGGTGCACTGTATTTATGACATAAACAAATTGAGGCAATGCAATGTTGAACCATCTTCTCCAATCTGCTCTGAATCATGTCCAATATTTTAAATATCAAGCTGGGGCACTAGCTTATATATTACGACAACAATACTTCTCCATGAGGTTACGGATGGCACTTTTATACAAGTACAAAAGTACATGTGGAATAAAGAATATTTTTGCTCTGTGTATACAACCCACATAATTACTGCAGTCTTACCTACATGAAGATACAATTACCCCAACACAGTTAGGATTTAATAAATAAATTAATGTCAATGACAAGGATAAGAATATATTCTGATGTAGGTATAAACATAAACCCCACAATTAATAAGATCATTAATATTAAGAGAATTCAGAACCATGCGAAAGGTATATCTAGGGTCTGGTGAAGAACAAAAATGGTTGAATCTTCAGAATATATTGCAAGTTTAGACTGGAATTAGGAAAAGAAAAAGACAAAGAAAATGTTCTCAGGGGCCACCGGAACAGGCGGGAAAACAGAAGATTGACCATTAACAACAACCTTAAACTGTCGGTTTGCAAGAGGTATATAGAGAAGGCTAGGTGACCTGCAAGCTATAAAGGGAGTGTCAGAAAAACAAACTGTAGGGTCCTAAGAGCACTAGTGCTGCATTGTGCTGGATTTGCGTGTACAACGCGTTTCCAGAGTTTCTGTAAAGGTCCTCGGCTGGCGGGGAAAATGTGCGCTTTTATTTGAATGGCGTTGAACAAATAAATAGCGCCCTCTATGCATAAAACGTTGAGCACATGTGTGTGGCGGTGAACATGGCATAAACCCGAGCGTATTTTATGGTTCTCGGCATACTTTGTTGGTCCTCAGTCGGTCATCTGATGACTGTTTTTAGTGAGGGTCCTTGGGATATAACGTGTGTGTGTGTTTGTGTGTGAACATTGTGCACTTTAAGGAACACCAAAATATCTGGAAATGAATATATCTATATTGATTATTGGGTGGACTTTGCATCAGAATAAAGGATTCCAAACTTCCTCTTAATATTGAAAAGTATTGAGATTATCTAAGTTAAAAGCTATGCTGATGATATGGTGTTACAAGCGATTACTTTTTCTGTTTTACAATCACTTGTTAATATAGTGACCTATCATGAAAACTATACATTGTATAGGGTGGACTAATTCTAAAAGTCAATGTGTATATTTTTTTGCAAAAGAATACGAAACTCATATTTTAAATAGCGTTGAATTACGCTGCTTTTAGTCTGTAACGTTCCTGCAATGTTTCAGGAACGCCCTCTGTCGAGAATCTGTGAAGCAATCGAATCAACAGAAGAACTCGGTGATTTGTTTGTTACGTAGAGGAAAAAGGCAGAATATACAAAAACGACATATATCCTTTGCAGGAGTTGCGCCAGATGGTGGAGGGGGCCTGGCCCCGTTCAGAGAGAACTCTAAAATCGCTTAAAAAGCCTTTCAAACCCCTAAATTGTCATTGTTTTCTGGGGCTTTGCCCACTGGAACACTTTCAAGAGATTTTGAACAACGCCTGACCACGCCCTCTTTTTTCGTCGGGGACGTCGGGCCCGCGTCATGCTTGCTTGGGACGCGACTCAGAGCTATAATGTACATTGTGATGACATCGATTATTACTTAAGCTCAAATAAACTTGGGCTTTTACAAACTTTGATCGACTGTACATTTAAAATTCACAATTTGTGGAAATGGTTTTTAACTTGATATAACTAAATTGATTGTTGCTTTTTAAAGAAATTGTTTTCCAACATCGTTAATTAATAAAACCATTAATAATTACTTGAGCGTTAAAATTATCTTTATGACCAAACCTTTTGATGACGCGGTACAAGCATCGTATTGTAAATCAACATATGCTTCGTTTTCTAATTATACGCTACGTATAGTTAACAAATTAGTTAAAGAATTTTGTTTAAAAATTAAAGTTACTCTTGTTTTTTAGTCTTTTAAAGAATGTAACTTCTTTAATGTGAACGATCGCGTGCCGACAATAAAATCTCCAGGCTCGTGTTGTATATAAATTGAATTTATTGAACTCATAGATCGTTTTTCCCTCTCAAATAACTGTAGGAGTATGCAAAGTGCATGTGTTAACATATATGAATAGTCCTGCATTAATTATATGGTAAAGAAAACTATTGAACTCACGGTAAGTTTTAAACGTGTTAAAACTAACTTAACAGCACTTGTGTTAAAAACAGAGTAAAACTGGACAAGGTCAGTCATGCCAAAATATTGGGAATTATTATCCATGTCAATTTATCTTGGCAAGGCCACATTGATTATATTGTTAAAAAGTGTAATATGAGGATTTATTTCCTAAAGCAACTCAACAGAGCTGGCCTGGACCCTCAATCTCTAAAATATTTCTATTGTACAGTTATTAGATCCGTTATTGAGTATGCATGCCCTATTTGGTACACTGGTATTACCAACAAACAGACAGGTATACCCTTGAGAAAATTCAAAAACGAGCTTGGTTGCATGCTACCAGGGGTCCCCTACGAGGAAGCGAAGGACATTCTTGGGGGATGCAATGTCTCTCGGATTGACTGATGGGGATGAGCAAGAAGTACTTCACAAAAGTCCGGGGAGCACAGGCTGAAACGCCTCTTTTCTCCATCAGTCCAACATAAATACAACAGCTCAAACACAGTAAATCTTTCTCCACACCATTCACTCGTACAAACAGATCACCAAATATCAACTATCGATTATCTCATGAATGGTGATTCGATCGGTGTTCCCCTCCTATTTTTCTAACACTTTTTCGGTTCATTGATATTGATGTGGCCTACGAGGCCCTAGCTCCCTGTGCGGGACTCCTGGTATCGGTATCAATTTTAATATTATAAAAAAATATTAATAAAAGTAATAATATAAACAATAATATCAATAATTAATAATAATGTACTACAATAATTTCAATAATATAAATCTGCTCGATACAATATACACATGTCATAATAAAGTACTACAATAATTATAACCTAAGTTTCAATCCAGTCTATACTGGCACAGATCTATGTTAAGGCCAATGAACATCTAACAACACGAGTGAAAGAGCATTTTCACGCAGGACAACCGATAACAGAGATGGATACAATTTAAGAGATGACTTAACTTTATTTGTGTTTTAGGGAGGAATTATTATGTCCAAATACGTACCAAACTGAGGCCCTTTATTCGACCTTTCTGTAGTTGCAAATCTAGATATGACTCTGGTTACTCGTAGGCCCAAGCGCGTGGAAATAATTTACTTTAGGCGCATGGACTGCGACTACCTTGTATATAATTACAGTACTGTAAAAAAAAAAAAAAAAAAAAAAAAAAAACTGTCTTGTTTCCATTGCATGAAATATAACAACGTCATATACCAGTGTCCCAATATAGTAATAGTAATTTTTAAATGTGTATGTGTAGTAGGCCTATGTTTATGTTTTATATTGTAAATTACAAAAAAGCAACGGTGTGTAATATACCAGGGAAATGTAAACATTCTAAATGTTCATGTACTAATAAATATTATAAATAAAACATAACATTTATTTATTACATGTTTTATTACAGAAGTTTGATTACCAGTACAGTTGTTTGATTACTGATAGTTTGACTGAAATTATGAATCTAAGACGTGTGACGTATCAGCAAACCTGCTAAACCTTTACATATTTTAATTTTAAATAAATAAATCAATAGTAATACTAACAATAATAATAACAGTATACATTAAAAACACCTTAATTCATTCAGTACAGGTTTTTTATTATCTAATTTTAATGTTCTATAAAATAACTATTTTATATTTACTGTTACTGTTTGATGGTGTTTTTTAGATGTCCTTTTCCCCAGGGAACAGTGTTAGTGCTTTTATTTTGATGTTTTTTTCTTTTAAAATGTTAAAGTAAATTACCATGTAATTCAGCAATAAGCTGCGAGGTGGATCTGTTAAAAGAAACAGAAATTGAATTGAAAAGCAAAATTATATTAATCCAATAACACAATCAACAAATAAAATCAAATGCCAGTTATCTAGACCAGGACACACGTTCCCTCATTTTGGCAGCTTAAGTTTTGACAGCGATCAATAGCTGTTCAGATATAAAAATAATA